AACCCGACGCAAATTTCCCCATAGGATTCAATGTAAATCCGGTTAATCCGTTCCGCCCTCCAAATTTGGTCGCACCCCAAAGCAAATTTTCCCATAAGATTCAGTGTAATTACCGTTAATCCGCTCTGGTGTCCGCGGACCATGCGTCAGGGGCGGGAGAATGGCCGGGTGCCGTGCAGCGCGGCGGGAAAAAGGCTGGGCGCCGTGCGGCGCAGTGGGAGGACGGCCCGGTGCGGCGGGAGGACGGCCTGGCGCCGCGCCGCAGGAGGATGGCCAGGCGCCTCGCTGCGGGAAAATGGCCGCGGACCACGTGTCAGGGGCAGAAAAATGGCCGTGGACCACGTGTCAGGGTGGAAAAATGGCCGTACCCCGAGGCGGAGTTCGCATATCGAGGGAAATTTTTGCGGCCGGAGCTGGTTGTAACCCGAAAAGTTCGTTAGTAGAGGCGTTCGTATCCGGAGGTACCACTGTATAGGTTCTGATCCAGTGAATCCATGCACAGATTGGCCATTGCTACCTGGCTGACATTGGGAGGATGAAGTAGATGCTAAAAGAAATTGGGAGAGAGGAGCCTTGTGATGTACTTAAAAATGAAATGTTTCTTCCTTTTTTTTTTTTAATTGCAGGTATTTTAACTGCAGTTCTCCAGGTGTACAAGCCTGTGGCGTTCCTGCATCGTGTTGTCTGGATCCCCTGGAAAATGGTACCATCCTGAATTCTCAATGTGGCTTTGGCACCCTGGGCCTGGAGGAGTTTGTAGTTCAAAGCACCATCTATCTTGGAGGTTGTGTTCCCCAGCTAAGCAGATGGCTCAACAGTCACACAGGAACGATAAGCTTGTTTGCTATAGTTCTGATTGTGATTGAAGTAGGTAGCTTGTTTTTGGCCACTAAGCTCCTGGCAGGCATTGCCTCTGCTCTGACTCACCATTATAGCGGGAAGGAGGGCGTGTATTAGCTCTCGTATTGCTGGAGATGGGTTTTCTCGTCATCTTTTGGAGAGTGTAAATCTTAAGTATTTTATAATTCCTTTCATGCTGGTTAATTTATCCATGATAAAATGGATATTGGTTTTGTAGGAGAAAACAAAAGCTGCTTTTCATATATGTATTTATTTTGCTCATTCTCCTACTCTCCTCCGTTGCCTTGATAATTCCTTCCACCTCTTCGTTTTATACACTCACCCTCTGTACTTGTAAGCATGGTCAGAAGAAGAGGAATAATGTAGCAGAAGACCTTTGCATCCAGGCTACTCCCCTATAAATTTAGCAACTAATTTTCTGTAGTCATTTCTAAAAGCCAGTTTCTAAGTTGGATATGAGAGCTATTTCCAATCCAAGTACTGGTTTCCAAAAAAGAAGCAAAGACAGTACACTCTGATCCTTCTGATTCTTTCTCCCACTTTTCTGAAATGAAAATAATTCATAGTTGCATGTTGTAGCAGATTTTTTTTTAACCACCAAGGAGTTACCGAGGGGCCAAATGCAAAGGGCAAAAATGCCAGCACTTTGCCAGAAGCTCACTTATATTGCCTTAACACAGTGTTGTCCAAACTTGGCCACTTTAAGATGAGTGGA